GGATCAAGGCAGCGGTCCCCAAAGACCAGATCTGTGATGTGGACAAGATCCGCATGACAGCAGCTGGAAACATGCTTATCACGCTCTCAAAGAAGAGTACTGATAAAGGCCTCGCGCTTCAGAAGACTATCGCAGGCGCCCTTCTAGATGATGCAGCTGTCATCAGTAAAGGTCCTCAAGAGGAGCTAGAAATCCGTGATCTTGATGAAGTCACGACTCAAGACGACGTCCAGAAGGCCCTAAAAGAAGCAGCTGGAGATGGCATCGAGATATTAACAAATGCTATCAGGGTCCGCGCGGCCTTCAGTCGCACTCAGACTGCGCGGGTAACACTACCGGTAGCAACAGCGCGAAAAATAGTTGGAGAGAATGGCAAGATCAGGATTGGCATGGTAAATTGCCGGATTCGAATAGTAAGAAGACCGCGACCTTGCTATAAATGCTGGCACTATGGACACGTCGTTGCACAGTGCAAAAGTGGAACCGACCGATCGAAGCTCTGCATGAAGTGCGGACAATCAGATCACAAAGCTGCTAAGTGCCCAAATAAGGCAAAGTGCCTGTTATGTGCCGAAAAGTCCGACTTAAAGGACATTTACCATCAGGCTGGCTCTAGTAAATGCGCGGTTTTCCAAGAAGCGCTTCAGAAGATTACAAATAACCGAGCATGAAGATACTGCAGCTAAACATGAACCATTGTGAAGCTGCGCATGACTTGCTTATGCAGATAGTACGTGAACTGAAGATTGACCTTGTGCTTATATCGGAGCCTTATAAACAACTAACTGGCCTACCATGGGAGACAGACATCACCACAGCTGTATATGGTCTTGTGACAAGCCCCTTTCAGAGTGTCGTTAACAATGTCAGCGCCGGCTTTGTAGCAGCACCAGTAGACGGCATCCGCTTCTACAGCTGCTACGCACCACCTAGCCTCACCATTGTTGAATTCATAGACTTCCTGGATCGACTGACCAAGGACGCGAAGCAGTATTACCCAGTTGCAATAGCTGGGGACTTCAACGCCTGGGCAGTGGACTGGGGCAGCAAATACACTAACGCACGAGGAAAAGCACAACTAGAGGCCTTTACTACACTAGATGTGGTACTGCTCAACAGTGGTGACATGCCGACCTACACCAAAGGCGACGCAAGCTCGATTGTAGATCTCACCTTTGTCAGCAGCAGTATTGCCAGAAAAAATTGCGACTGGAGAGTGTTAAACATCTACACTGCTAGCGATCACAATGCAATTCTGTGGGAAACACCAAACCACAAGAGCCCTAGAAGGTCTAATAACCAACTGAACACCATCGGTTGGAAAGTGAAATCCTTTGATCCAAGTGCATTGCTAGTATCTCTAGACTCTGACCCGATTATCACTGGACCTGCAGAAGATAAGACCAAAGATCTGTTGACGAGACTGACCCGAGCTTGTGACGTCAGCATGCCTCGTAAACGAGATAATAATCAACGACCATCGGTGCACTGGTGGAACGACCGAATCAGTACGCTCCGGGCAAAGTGTCTTAAGAAAAGAAGAATATCTCAGCGTGGCTACCGACGACCTTACTCCGCAGAGCTGGTTGCAGAGTACAAACAGGCGCGTCGGAATCTAAACAAAGCCATCAAGGAAAGCAAAAGACGCTGCTGGACGGAACTCGTCGAAGAAGTGGAGAGGGACCCATGGGGTAGACCGTATAAGGTGGTCATGACCCACCTGAAGAGCCAGCCAATGCCATCGCCAACGTGCCCACAACTCCTACTGAAGATCGTAGCTGCGCTGTTTCCACGGCAACGTGATTTTATGTACTCATCACTGCAGCCGAATTCCGAAGACATTCCACCTGTCACGAAGGAAGAACTGATGGAGGCCAGCAACCGCGTCGGGAATAATAAAACGCCGGGATTGGACGGAATCCCTAATATCGCTTTAAACTTCACGTTCTCCTTCGGGCGTACAATCAAAGCATCCGGTTTCGTCCGTATAGGTATATATCTTAGTTTGCGGCCTTAAAAAATCCAACTCGTGCAAGAATTGAAGCCGAACGACCATCAAGCGCGTCGCACGTTCGGTGAAGGGGCCCAAAATGAGAGTTCAGCAATGTTGCTCACTTTTGGTTGATATACAAAATTGTCGCAAGTGAAGTGATAATAATCCACAAGCGAAAAATGAGCCGTTACATCCTAAAAAAATTATTTGGTGTGCTCTATGGGCAGCGGGAGCCATTGTTTTATATTTCTTCAAAGATGAAGCCAGCGTTGTACCTATGACATACAACCAACGAAACAAGGAAACTTTTGGTGAGCGCCTGTGGCGTGACCTCCATGATAGTGCGATTTAATACCGGTGGACTATTTTTTGTTGGGTTATGGAAAGTCACTTGTCAACGGTCCCAATTGTTGTAAAAAGTGGTCGAAAATTGTGCCTTTCGTCTGGAATTTATTCGAGCCAGCCGCGTTTGTCACTTGCCCGAAACATACCCCTGTCTTTAAAATAAAGCTAAATTCTAAATTCAATATTAATCTTATAGCTTATGAAAGGGAGACTATATAGTATATAAGATTCCATAATTTCGTTAACTGAAGCTTGAGCTTGAGTTAAGCGATATGGAGAGCTTGAAACAGAATTGTGGTTCTTCTTAGACGACTTTATTTCCAATTTATAGTTATCGAGAAAATCTCTCCAAGATCTGCGTTCTTTCTCCTTCGCAACAAATAATTAAAATATGTATGTACACAAAAATGTGTTTATAAGTGGTACAAGCGCTTTACAGAAGGCCGAAATGTATTATATCCGAGAGGGACAACTTTGAAGGGGACAAAAAAGATATTGATGAATAAATAAGTACTTTTCAAAAAAATTCAAATTTCACATTTTCCTATGAACACACCTCGTATATCTAAGTTTGTTGTTTGTTGTTATTACAGTACTATTTGGTGACCAATATAAGTCTTTAAAGGAGTAATTTATTGGGATACACTTTGTTTTGAATGAATGAGTTCTTAATATTGTCTTAAAACAAAGGAAGAAAAATTTATTCTGGACATTTTCCTTTTTGATATATAGTTACATATGTATCGAGTCACCATTAAATCACGAAAGATAAAATTAAAAATATTGAAACATTGAAGTAAGCTTTCGTTCAAAGATCCTAAGACTTTGAGAAATTTAAAATTTAGAATAGGGGTGCCATATAACAGGAAATGGTAAAATATCTCTTCTAATTGTAAGAACTTTAAGATAGCTTTCTGAAAATAGTTCAGGTAGGCTAAAATGAAAATATATTTTCTGATAGAGTTACCATCATTGAAAATATATAGAAAAGACAAGAGTTCTACAAAAAGATGTCCGGCGGAATTATTTTCGGAACGAATAAAGTATACCACATATATTGTATCATAACACTTTATGATTTTGTGTTCTTTGATCTTTGCAGATCCTGCTAATGAAATTAAAACAGTGAGATGTAATCATTAATAACGAAGAAATATGGTTGAATTCCTTACAAAATATTGTTCAAATATACATAAATAAATTCTTTTAAATTCAGATGTAATTTATATCTTTTAGTGGATATAATTTAAACTATTTAATTTCCAGTAAATTTGCCCCTTCTATTTATTACTTCAAAGCAAGCAATTTTATAGGTTCCCTCCTGATCACTTGATTTATGCGCTAATTACTGGCGTCACTATTACAATATTACGATCATCATCACCGTTATTACAGGCAATGGCTTTTCGCGGCTTCAAAACGCGATTTTATTGCCATTTGTCGTCTGCATAACTGCAATGTGCAACCTGGCGCGATGGCGCTGCCTTGGTGATCTCAACCGAAGATCAATCCGAGTCGCAAAGTGAAGCAAAAGGGCCGAGCAAAAGTTGAATAAATAGTCGCAATGCGATTAAATCATAACGCGAAATGTCAGAGCAACAAATAACAAAAACAAAAAATATGAAATCATACAAAGCGAGCAATCAAAAGGTGGAAAACGTAAACGATGAGACCAATGCCATACACGTAGCAACTGTAATAAAAATATGACAGCATTATAAAAAGAAAAAAATGGAAAACAACAGTTTACTGAATTCCCCTCTGATTTTCGATTTTTTGCAGAAATTTACGCCAATCGAATGGAATTTTTCTTTCGCGCGCTGCGGGTCAGGTGCGCGATCTCCAAAGCCGACAACACAAGCAACTTGAATGCTCCGAAATAGGTGAGGTTATACGTAAGTGAGGGAGTATCCGCAAACTCACACACATACACACAAACAGGCAAATATAGAACACCTTCAGCGTTTAACTGCCAGCGTCAATAAATGAACTGACAGAATTTGAAGCACTTGTTGGCGTTGTTCGATTTAATCGTGTTGTTATTGTAATTGCTTTTGCTGTTGTTTTTGTTACTCTGTACGCTTGCTGTATTGCCATTGCTTGAATTATTGGCTGGCAATTTTTTCACAAATCATCAGTCAGCGAAGTGATTGTTTGCTCAAGTGCTTCTCGTTGTTTTTGTTGCTATTTTTTCCAGTGAGCTATGGTGAAGAGAATTATGAAGCGATAAAAAAATGAAAAATATTAATAAACTGGAAAGTGAAAATTGATTGATGATTTTTGCTTATATATTTGGAAATCATATTAATATGACGATGACGAATTCTTTTCTGAGATTTCCTGATTTGTGAAGAGCAATGTTTTTTCGGATTAATTCTGCCTTTTTCCCATAGGCCATTTTTGGCTAAGAATTCATGAGCAAGTAACGAAGTGTGAACTTTTAATAAACGAAAATCGTCAAGCTCATAAAAATACGTCTAATCTTAGCGGCTGCTACAGATTTTATCGTACTTCAGGGGCATGTATATCCAATATAATAAAAAAAAATGACAATTGCAGAATCCACCGCGAAATTTAAAAATTCTTTGTTTTTGAAGACGCCTAGTGTAAAAAAGAAGGTTTAAAAAAGAAAAGAAAATTTCGGAAAATAATTTATCGTTTAAAAAATACTTTGCAATTATGATTCAGCCAAGTCAAGAGCTAAAGTGCTTAACCATCCCTAAATTTCAAGGCTGCTATTAAAAAAAGGAATCGCTGGATAGTTCTCAATAAAAGAGCTCGAAGATGAAAGGTCTGTGTAAGATAATAACTATTCATTTAGTATGAAATTTATAATATAGAATTTTAAAATTCCTAAAAATAAATTTTTGTGTTTTTGCATATTTTGATAGTCTATGTTTTCAAAACTAACATACTAAGATTTAAAATTAATATTTAAAATATTTTAAATTTTTAATCAGGTTTTATTCGATAATTTTTGATTTTATTTTTATACTCTCGCAACCTGTTGCTACAGAGTATAACAGTTTTGTGCACCTAATGGTTGTTTGTATCACCTAAAACTAATCGAGTAAGATATAGGGTTATGTATATATAAATGATCAGGATGAAGAGTGTTGAAATCCGGGTGACTGTCTGTCCGTCCGTCCGTCTGTGCAAGCTGTAACTTAAGTAAAAATTGATATTTCTTTATGAAACTTGGATGTGTACCAAGTACCGTAAGATGGTTGGTATTGCAGATGGGCGTAATCGGACCACTGCCACGCCCACAAAACGCCATAACTAAGCTCTACAATAAGATACAAGACTGTTATTTAGTATACAGGATCACATTAAGAAGGGGCATCTGCAGTTTATTTTTTTTTTTTAAGTGGGCGTGATTCCGCCCCCTAATAGGTTTAATGTGCATATTTCCTAAACCGCTATTATAACTAAATTCACTGGGAACAAATGCTTTTAGTACTTCTATCGACATTGCGAAAATGGGCGAAACTGGATTACAACCACGCCTATTTCCCACATAACACTATTTTAAATTCATTTAAAATTGTATTATAAATAAAATAAATAAATGAAACCTTCAAAAATAGTATGTTTTTGTGTCAAAAATTAGTTGAATCGGATCAATACTTCCTTTAATATAAAATAATTAAAGTAATTTCCCGGCTTTGATCCTTGCAAGTTGCGAGAGTATAAAATGTTCGCTTACACCTGTACTTAGAACTTCCTTACTTGTTAATTTTGTATTTGGTATAACTCTTTTTCAATTAGGTATTCGGGATTAAAAATTTCAAAGTTATATGAAACTGGGAAAAATCGAACAACTAGCTAACAAAATTTATTTTTTGCAATTCTTTGGGAATATTCAATAATTGTGTATAAATATATTCTTAAAATTTCAAAACACTTAATACACTTTATATTTAAAAATATCCCAAAGACCATCTCTTTTCTCAGCGATCGCACTAGGTGTGCCACTTAATTGAGGAAAGGCTTTACTTCTACCCTCCGAAGTCTTAAAGATATACGGTACAGTTTTTTTAGTCATCGCGAAATTAATAAATTATACTTTGCCTAAATTATTAAAATTAAACTAATAACTACTGAGGGTACTACTATCTCACATATATATTTTCCTTTTTACTTCAAACTATACTCTAGGGGTCATCAATAGTACTTAGGCATTCAATCCCCGTAGCTATAGCTGCAGACGAGATTGAAAATCTTGAATACGGCCTGAGGAAGATATAAGCAGGAAAAGGAAGGAAGATAAAAATGAGAACGCAGAGTTCAACTTCATTTCAAGATAATCTAGTTGATAGGTAGTTTATTCGATCTCGAGAAAACTTCAGTTTTTTAAATTATTGTTAGGTTTTATGACTGTGAGAATTTAAGGGACTTCATTGACATCTTGCAGAATGAATTGGTTATTTCTTAAACATCCTCTGGGGTCCATTAAACTTATAATAACGGGATTGTTTCAAAGTGGGTATTGTGTTAGTTGGTGGTTCGGTTCCATATCGTCGATATTCTTCTACTCTCCACATCATAAGCTTTTCAACAAAAAAGTACAATTGGGACTAACGGAATCATCAGTTCAAAAGTTGCATCACTGTTATATTTTAATGAATTTCATGCCACTTGAAGGCACTACTTTGAATTGGTATTACATATAGAAG